GTTCTGAGCTTCTCCTTCGCCCAAGCCACCAGTGCAGCTTCCACCTCTTCTCCCTCCAGTGGTTGCTCCAGCGGTGTTGTACAAGGTAGTGAATTCTTAATCGTTCGCGTTAGGGTTTTAGTTTATGTTTCGTATGTTTTATTTTTTGCTTACTGATTCGGATTAAATGTTGTTGTTTCTGTGAAAGGAGAAAGGGGATAGGTTTATACCTTTAGCCTTTGAGGTGGAGACGAGGTGGACCGGAGGCGCGTGGAGGGTCGGACGGCGAGGGAAGCAGTGACGCGATGGCTTGAGGACGCGCGAGCCTTGGTATCTGGTTTTGCCTCTTCAGGTTTGATGATGATTATGACCTGAGAACCTTTGTTTGATCTCTTTTCCTCTTTGTTGCCTTGATGCCTTGTATGTGTTAGCTTCGTATACTTCTTCTCTTGCTGTCTTGATGCCTGGATATGTTGGTTGGTGTGTTTGATAGCCCAATGATGAGAAAACTCTGAGGGCTTGTGTTGGTTTGGTTTTTTTGAGGGTTCAGGTTTGTTAATGGTTTTGACAGGGGTTTAAGGTTTGAATGTTTTGGCTTTAGCTTGCTGGTTTTAAAGTATATGCAGGTTGGGGTTGGTAATGAGCTTACTGGTTCGACTGGAGGTTTGCTTCAGGTTATGTTATGGCCTGGGCATGCTGTTGCAGTTTTTGAATGGTAGGCACAGGTTTGAGTTTGATTGCAGGTTATACTGGTTTTGGTGTTTGATGTAGTAGCTTATACTGGTTTTTGATGGTTAAGGGCTTATGCTTCAGTTTTGGCATGGCTCAGGGGTTTGGACAGCAGGTTGTATGTTGTTTTGAGGTTTGACAAAGCTTGACAGCTTTGTCTTGGAATGGTTCTTGCACAGTTTTTTTTAGCAGTTTTGGCTTGATGACTGGTACAGGTTTTGGGTGAACTGGTTTTAGGTTGGTTTTGTTTGACAGGTTGTGCCTTAAGGCTTGGCAGTTCCGCCCTGGGGCTTGGCCTTGTTTACAGGTTGAGTTTGAGACTAAGAGCTTGAGTTTTTTTGCTTGCTCTCAGTTATCTTTTGTTTTTTTGTGATTTCTGGCCCCCCTTTACTGTTTCATTGGCAGATTGTTTTATATCTTTTCTATGCCTCAAGCCTAAACCTGTAAGCCCAACTTCTTCTCTCTCTTTTTTTCTCTCTCTAGTACAGTTAAAACATTTAAATAATGTTGTATGTACTTATTCTGAAAAAGCAAACTGGCATGGGAAATGATGAAACTGAAATTTTGCTTGCAAAACACTTTTCCTCTGCATACTTTCCTTCTTCAGCTCTCCTGCATCTTTGTTACAGTTTTGGCATCTTGTTGACTTTGGACTTAGTTTTGAAATTGTGACTTTGTATTTGCACATGCTGTCTTGCTTTGAACTATGCAGTTGGTTTTGAACTATGCAGTTGGTTTTGACAAAATTTGAATTTGTGTATTTCAATACTTGTGCATTCATTTTTAATTTGCAAACATTTTCATCCCTCTTTGTGAACCGGGAGAAATCCCGTGATTTGCAGAGAGGGTAAAACTGATTCCGGTCGTTTGCTTTTAATGATGAACTTTTTATCTGTCTGTCTCTTTAAATATCTTTCTGCTTCTGACTTTTCTTCTTTCTTATTCTTTGCAGATAGAATCCAATGAGGCAGAGGGAGCAAGGGATAGAAGATGAAGAATTGAAGATTTAGAAAAATATTAGGATAGTTTTATTTAAATTTAAATAAATGTAATATTATTATTGTAAACATTTTGTAAACAAAAACAATTATACAAATAATTTAAAGATAAATAAAAAGTCCTTTTATTTGATTAATTCTTTTCTTCTCCAATTGTTTATTTATTATTTAAAATTCTTTAAATTATAATAATGGAAAATAAATTCCAATCATTTAAATTCAGAATAATAAATAATTAAATAAACATTGTTTCGGCATTGATCAATTAAACTTGGCGCTTCCAAAAATCCAAAGCAAAGCACAGTCAAACACAACAACTGCCCAAACGTATTTTCCTTTTACTGATTTTAACCAAACACTGCAAATTCAATCCAAATGCATCTTTTCACTGATTAAGTCAAACAATGCGAATTCAATCCAAATGTCTCAGCCCATATCTCAGAATAACTTGAAAAGCACTGTGGGGATTTAATTCTTTCTGAGAATGTGCGCATAAAAACCCTGATTCCGATCAAATGCCAAAGAAACGTTCGCCTGATCAAAGTTGAGCCAAAATCGACCAAAACCCTAAACAAACTGTTTGAATTGTTCTAGAGCCATGAAAACCAATGAAAACCCTAATTTTGTCTGACTGACGAGAAAAGTCTGTTTGACCGATTCTTGAGCCAGTTTGAAAAATCAGGAAACGCCTGAAGCTGTGATTTCTTGAGGAAAAATGCAAGGGCAAATTTTGGGGTACAACAGAAACAAAATTCAATCTTCCCGTTAATAGAACCAGAAACAGAATTCTGGTTTAGAACTGGAAGTGTACCTCTAGTACTGTTTTTTACATTTTGAAGGGTGAAATCACATTTGACCTGTTTTATGCAAAATATGGTGTGAACAGGAAGTGCATTTGCGATTTTCAGAGGGATAATTTCAGAATTGCATAGAGTGTCCCTTTTCCATATGGGATGGGGTAAGAAATTTTTTCAAGATAAACCCTAAAATTAAATAAAAAATCATACTAAACCCTAAATATGCAATCTATATAATGTACTTGATAGCTTGGTTTTAAAAAAAGTTTGCCGACGGCGAAAACGGCCGCGACAAAACAATTTTGACATATACCGATATCATTATTACCTTTTTTATATTAAAGAACAATTGTGATTAATTCACACCGCAACGACCGCAATCAATGTCGCGACATCTTACTAACCGAAATCGTGAAAATCTTTACGCGACCGCGACCGTTTTTTTAAACCTTCGTCTGATATTACTCTATCATGATGGCAAAGGAGAAGAGAGTAAATGTGAATATGCCTCTTGAATTGATAATGGAAATTCTGTTGAGGTTGCTGGTGAAGGATATATTACGTTTCAGGTGTGTATGCAAATCATGGCTTTCTCTAATTTTTAATAACAATTTTGCTACTTCACATTTTGAAGATGCTGCCACACATAGACGTTTCTTCATAATATGTTATGCTCTTCAACCTCTATCCATAGATGTTGATGTATCGCTTCACGATCCTTTTGCATATGTTTCATTAACTCTTGATTTTTTTTGGTTCCAAACCTCCTCTTGAAATTAGAGGTTCCTGTAGAGGATTTCTGTTCTTGCACGATATGACATATATCTATCTATTGAATCCATCCACCCGTTTGATCAAACAAATACCCGACTCTTCGTCTATTTATAACTGTTAATGATGTTTTCGAACTTCTGTCAGGTTTTGCATATGACCAGTACACTGATGATTCGGCAGCTATTAACATATAAAATTGATAAAATATTATTTTTAGTCTCTTAATTATATCTCATAGTCCATTTTAATCCCTTAGTTTTTTTAAAAGACCAAATTGATCCTTTATCTCTTCAAATTAAATTATTTCAAAATTAAATAATAGAAATTTGAACTAAAACATGTATAATTTTGAAAGTGCTCAAGTACTGGGATGAGTCAACATTTTAACTGATAAACCAAAGACACAGGAGCTATCTGAGTAGCTGAATTCATTGTCCAAATTCCAAAAGTATATATGCTCTATAAATTTGTCAATTTAATTAATGGTCATTTCTTTTCCTATCTTTACAAAAATGTATGTCAAGTGAGAAGTTATGTGATGGAAAACTTCTTAGGTGCAAGGAATAGTGTGGACATACACGCTTTCAAGTGCAACCTCATATTTGTTAGTATATTAACAGGTGTACTTGATAATTTTGTAAACATACATGTTTCTCACTTGAGTGTGTGCTAAAACCCACCGGTGAATCAAACTAAAACATATACTCTCTCCGCTCCATACAGAGTGACTTAATCCACAATTTCACATATATTAAAATAAATATAAAAAAGTAAGAGAAGATAATGTTTTTATTAGAGTATCCCTAATCATGTATTAGAAATGATGAAAATTTAATTAATTAGAGGGTAGAATTGAAAAAAAATATATTGAAAATTGAAACGAATCATTCATTTTAAGACACTATTTTATTTCAAATAGATCACTCATTGTGGAACGGAAGGAGTATTATTTTACATACAGTTTTGTATAGCACACACTTCACTTTCCATTTTTGAGAACATAACTTGTTTAGGACAATTTTGAATGAGTTTATATCGTAATACAAAGAGACATTGATCTATCTTGCATATTTTATGAAAGTCACCTCAATGACACAAGTAAATAATTGGATTTTGTGCTTATGATAAAATAAAAAAAGTCTGCTTGCCTAAACAGAAAAACCAATCATAAATTATAGTCATTTCTGTAATTTCTTACTTAATATAATAGTGAATCAATGAAAGGGAAAATAAATTGGAAGACCACATATGCAAGAAAATCGTTCACTTTGTATTATATTTTGAACAATAAACAGGTTATAATCTCTATGTGTGCATAACTATCACGAGTTAAATAATGTATCATACCACAAAACTCCTCAATATGGGCAGCACAAATGTATTGTACATGCATCTTTTTAAGCAGCTCACAAGGTAGCACATCAACCACAAAATCATAATTCAAGATAGCTCAAATTAGAATAAGACCACAATCAAACAATTCAAATAACTGAAATGTTGACAATGCAAATTCACAGTTCAAGGTTAAACTATCTAATTCGGCTGAGTTTTTCAATAGATAATACGTTATCTCATTTTTTGAATAGATGCATATTACTTTGTCACGGTAAAGCAGAAAAATTCTTAAGTTACTTGCCTTGACATTCTAATAGTTTCTTTCTTAAGCAGGAATTATAACATCTATGATATTCCAGCTTATAGATGTCTCATAAGAATAACAAAATCAACCACTCCGGGCTTCTCTCCTTGTGGCATCGTGCAATAGTTCAATGTCCACACCTTCTGGAGGCAATTGCACATATCTCACCACCGATCCTCTGATGAAGCAGTTCCTTACAGAAAGCTGACATCAAACAATAACATGTTACTGACTAATAAGTAATCAAAATAGAACCAAATCTGAAGCAAGTTAGGTCAATCAAATTAAGGAAGCCATATACAGCATAATTAATCAGAAAATAACATACAGCTGTACTCTATGCATGCAAAAGCTGATCAGATAATTTGAGAAATTTGTTCAAATTTTAGTTAACTCAGTTCGCTCGAGCCCAAAGGTAAATTTTGTAAACCTTATACAAATACCCTAGTAAAATATCTCATTTATCTAATCTATTATAGCAGCATACCCACGCATTATATGGTAGGAAAATACAACATATTAAACTCTCTATATTCATATCTTTTTTAATGGCATACCAAATTATCCTATTATTCATTTCAGGACCATTAGACTTAATTGTGAGGTATCCTCTTAAAACAAAAAGTTATTAATTGGATATAAGCAAACTCAACAAACGTGGTTGTCAATATCCCTTGCTTAATATTGCAATCCCACAGTGGATTGCAACATAGAAAATATTGGCTGCAATCCCCATGGATATTTGTAGGAACAGTAGGGTCCTAATACTTTCATGAGCCTAGTGATAGTTTAAGCTGGCACTATAATGTGAGATAATGACACATGGCCAGCAACAACAACCAGCCACAGATGCCATCAAAAACAATCCTTCACATGACTCTGTTTCTCATACCAACCCCTCTGTCTGTCTCAAAATCTATGTTTATCTCTATATCACAATTTGGACATCCAAAATTCCAACATTCTTCCCAATTACCAATGCCCTTCAAGATATCAATTATAACTTATAACTGTTTAAATTTCTTTAATTTCATTCATGAAGAATCAGTATAATAAAAATAGGAAAGATGAACATTGGTAGGCTGACTCAAAATACAAATTCCCCCTGCTATGGCAATTGGCCATAATTGTGCAAATTTACTGATTTCCAACTCTGTTTGAATGTGGATGAAGTAAAATATATCACCTCATTGAATAAAATTTTTAAGCCATAACATTTAGCACAAATCAAAGAAACAAAAGCAATGTATCAGTGGAAAACATTCTCACAAATACATTCAGTATACATCCATTTCACATTAACAGATAAAGAGCCATGTAGAAGAAGAGTAACAATGTGACACACCTCCAACAACGTAAACAAGGATCCAAATGATGACACCAATAAAGAACCAAAAGTTTCAATGATGGAAATGTTCATATTTAACGGTTCTACTAAGAACCAATACAACAACTAATTTCAACATCGTTTGGGATTTGATTAAGATCTAAAATACAGATATACAAATAAAATCCAGATAATTTAGCACAACACTATAATCAAAGCATAGTCATCAATTTATTTATACTTCTAAAAGTTTTCCTCCATGAAAGTGAATGCTACCCGTGACGATTTATCGTTTGGGATTTCATAAAGATCTAAAATACAGATTACACAAATAAAGTCCATATAATCTTTAGCACAACTATAATCAAAGCATAGTCATCACATTTATTTATACTTCTAAAAATTTTCCTCCATGAAAGTGAATGCTACCCGTGACGAGTTATTGTTTGGGATTTGATAAAGATCTAAAATACAGATTACACAAATAAAGTCTAGATAATTTTTAGAACAACTATAATCAAAGCATAGTTATCACATTTATTTCTACTTCTGAAATTTTTGCTCCATGAAAGTGAATGCTACCCGTGACGATTTCCATCAAGAAACTTTCAGCTCCTCCCTTTGATAGTCGAGTCCCCGTATCAAGTAGTACGGGATGCTTGGTGGAGTATTTAAGTGGTTTGGCTCTTCCCACTTGATGGCTATCTTTTAAGGGAGATTTCTCCAAGAGTTTGAATACTTATCAATTGGTGCCATAGCTGGTTGTCAGTGGCTTGGAGTGAGCTACCAACAAAAGGGCTGGCAAAAAGGCCAAGTAAAGTGTCATAAAATGCCAGTTTCCACAACGGACCCTCTTAGGGGCAGTGCTATGATACGAACTTGGATACTATAGGGTGCCTGAGTCCCACATTGAGTTGTATGGGATGCTCAGTACTAGAGGTGAGCAGAGATAAGTGACCCGCCCGAAACCCATATAAACTGGCAGATGCTTTGGAGAAACAGGCAGGTCTAGTTGGAGGTCGGGTACAAGTTATGAAGAAAGCAGAATAAAGTTACAAATGGTCGGTTGCAGGTCCAAAATTATAATCCATCAGTACCCATAACCCCAAAGCATAATCTGTTGCAAGCCTGCTACTGGTATTGAAACTTAAAACTATGCACGTTGCTCGATAAAAACACCACCTCAATACAACCTACCTCTGCTCTAACCTATTAGTAGCCACCTAATACTGCTGCTCCATCCACCATTATTAGATAAATGAAAAATATTATATTTGAATTGATGAAAAGAAGAATCAAGAACAATATATCTCCTCTTTTTGCACTGTCAGCCTATTTCTCAATGATATGTTTAAATTAAAATTCACAACAAATCAAAAAGAATTAATCACCTTCAAGACCAAATATATTCATCGATTTTGATTTATCAAATCATTTATTTTGCACTCGTTTCAATATTTTTCTCACTCTTATTCTTCAACTAAAAAAAAATGATAGTTGCTTTCAAAAATCGAAGAAAAATAAATTCTCAGTGTGAGACAGATAGAGCTCAAGCTGAGTCTGATATACCCAAACCAACTCATCCATCCAACTTGCTATCAATCCAACCCAGCACCCGTTCAAACCGTTGATTCAATTGGTCGGAAGTGGGTGCTATTGTAGCCTCATTGGGTTTCTTCGGGTGACCAATATTTAGCCTGAATCCGACCTAACCCCTGCCCAGTGCTAAAGGCCTACTCAGGGGACTAATTAAATGGCTTGGTTTTACCCCCTTGATAGCTAGCTTTTAAGGGGGGGTTCCCCAAGTGTTTGAATACTAATCACCCTCTCTAATCACAAAGAAACAGAAACCAATGAATTAGGTTGTGTTTGAAATCAATTTCTGCAAAGAAAGCCAAATTTTCTTTAGGGAACATTAACTTATTTGCTGGGTTTTTCTGTACAAATCCTGGCTATTTTTGTTTGTAGTTCCTTATTTGCCTGTTTTGTTTTGTTCATGTTAAATTAATCCATTGAAGCAATGACACTTTCCTTGTATGGTTTGTCATTTACGCAGCCTGGCATGCTAATATAGCCATATTGTAGAACCAAATTTCCCTTCTTCTATGATAACATCTCATTAACATACAAGTATGTCTACCAAGAGAAAAACAGTTATCAATAGGAAGCTATAATACACAACCAATGCTTTCATAGTTGTGTCAATTAGATAATACAACTCCCGACTTATGAGTTCCATGGTTAATTGAGTTTTTGTTCAAATCAAGTCTAGGTAATTTCATTTAGTGTGCATTTTAGTTTGGCTAGTTGTTTCCTTGTTGATGATATTGATGTTTAATTATAAATGAGGTAAGGACAAAGCTTTTTGTTTGAAACTAACACAAACACAGCAGAATGCTCAGTTATGGCTGCAAAAGCATTCATCAATCTTTATCCTAAAAAACCCTAAACCCTAAATTGAATTTGAATTCACCATAAACCCTAAATCGGCAACCTGAAATCCATACAATTTAAGAAATAACAACAATAAACCCTAAGAGAGAGAGAGAGATATACCATGTGAGGGTACTTGTCTTGATCAACAACACGAGTATTTTCGAGCTTGATATTAAGGTATTGATCAACAGAATGCAATGTCCCTCTGATGGCCAAATCGTTCTTGAGTTCTACCGTCACTTCTCTTCCCACCAAATCTTTGAAGTACGAGAAAAACAACTACATACAAAACACACAAAATGCAAACATCAAAATTACAGAAACTGAAGCAGAATGTAAAACACAAAGGAGAAAAGATTACCATTTTCGCTAGTATGAACTTATAGAGAGTGAAAGCGAAAAAGCCAGTGGTAGTGGTAGAAAACAAAGGGCTCGACAATTTTAACCCCCAGCCTCCGCTATATTTATATATTTTTTAAATAATGATAATAATAATTGAAAGAGAAAAATATTGCGAGTGGAGGAGATCCTCTCAAATTTAAAAAGAAAACGGCCTCTGCTACTTTACTATGGTTTTGATAAAATAAATATTCAATTAAAGTTTAAATAGTTTAATTTTTTTATTTTTAAAAAATAAAAATTGTTTATTAAATTAATGTAATTAATTTCATTTATATATTTTTAATTATTAATAAAATCAAATAATTTAATATTTATTAAGGTCATTTTAGTTTTAGATAATTATTTATTAATTTTTATGTCACAAAGTTTACTGGCCTCGTCTCTCTTTGTTTGAAGATGTTCCTGACAACTATCAGGCAATTCTCCATACGGCGTCTCATGGGTTGTCTAGACTTGATGGAGAGTCGTCTGTTAAGGGTCTTGTTGATGGCACGAGTCCAATGTGAGAGTCACTCTTAAATCGTGAGTGAGTTTATGTTCAAGCTCTCTATTTTAAAGGGGAACCTCGCCAACGGTCAAGTGACAGTGAGGATCCTTGTTAAAGAGAAGAAAGATCAGAAAGTCAATCTTATAACGGTTGCACTTGAGGCTTAGGATCTTGCTACCTTAGAGAAGAGTTTGAAGGAATCCCTTGAGGATGTCACCTGCTCTAAGAAGAAGTTGGAAGAGAGTTGTCCACACTTAAAAATGAATTAATGGACACTTCTAATCAATATTTTGAGAGTGTGAAGGAGAAGTAGTTTTCCTTTACCCAGAGCTAGACACGAATCAATTGGATCTCTTCACAGTGGTTCGTGATGGCCAATTGTTTAAAGAAGATAAAGGTTCGCCTCTTAATGAGTCTAGCATATTTACTAATGGTATGGGTGTTCAAAACCGAACCGGCCCATTAGAAAACTGTTAATCGAACTAAACCAAATCAAAACCGCAAAAAACCGCATTTGGTTTGGATGTGTTTTGGTCATTTTTTAACAAAATAGTGCGATTCTATTTAGTTTGCGATTTGTATTTTACAAACCGAACCAAATCGAACAAAACTGCATTACGTTACAACTCAAATCTCACTTAATCCTCATTTAACTAAAGTCCAAACCTATTATTCGTTAACCTTACTATTACTAATGATTTTCTCTTCTTCCCACTTAAGATTTCGATTTAAGTATTCTCAAATCCCTCCTAATGGTATCGCGTCTTCTCATTTTCTTTTCAATGTACATCTCTCATCATCTTCTCTAGTCTCTCATCTCTTATATTCTTTTTTTTCATTTTATTATTTTTATTCTACTATTCAATCTTCCAACTACGTTTTTAATGCACATCTTCTTCTCTAATCGCTCATATCTTGTGCTCTTTCTTTTTCATTTTTTTTTGTTTCATTATAATATTTTAGATGTCATTTTATGCTACTATTTTATGTTTTTTATTCTACTTTTCTCTAATATTATTTTTGTATATTAAATGGAAATTTGTTGTCTAAATATAATGAACTTTGTTGTTATTTGATAATGCATAAATGACTAAATACAAAGTTATGTTGTCGTCTATATGTGTATGTATGACTCAATTTTTTTTGTGTAAAAAATTGAACCAACCGAACCAATCCAAACCGCATTTGTTTAGTTTGATCTAGTTCGATTTTGTTTCTAAAATTCAACCGAACCAACCCAAAATGCATACTTTTTATCTTGCGGTTTGGTGACTTTTTACGTCAAAACCGCCCAAACCGCACCGCAAGTACCCTACCTAATGGGGTGCTCAGACTAAACCTGGAGGCAAAAATGCGGGGAATGAGAAAACTCACGAGTAGGATTCTGCTCACTAGGATTGCATTTATGAGGAAATGTGGGTTTTGGAGGAGACCTGATGAGCTTAAGGCCTCGTTGTTTATGTCCTTTATGGCTTCGTTTTGTAAGCATGTCCCTATGAGCTTCTTTTTGGTAATGATTAATGGAACCATGAAGGGCTTTCATTTGTATTTTTTCCCTTGTGGTTTAGATTAATGAAATGGTAGCTTTAGACACCTTTTACTTATTTTCTTGAGTTAACTGATGTTTTAGAATGCTCTGAATAAGTTTCTCATCATTATATGACTCAGTAAGGCGGAAAGGGTTTCTACATGAAGATCCAACATAAGTAATTTCTTAATGGGCGATAATTATTCCTTCATGGTGATCTAACATGAGTGATTGCTTTATGGGAGACAAATATTCCTCCATGAAGATCCAACATAAGTGATTTTCTCACGGACGACAGGGATTCCTCCGTGAGGATCCAACATAAGTGATTGCTTCATGGGCAGTAAAGATTCCTCCATTAGGATCCAACGTAAGTGATTATCCTATGGGCAGCAATGATTCCTCTGTTAGGATCCAGTAAAAGTGATTGCCCTATGGGTAGTTTTGATAAAATTCTCAACATCAATACTCAATTCTTATAAAAACAAAGTGACAGTATTCCAGAATTCATATAACAATGTGAGACGCCTAGTTAAAAATCATGTTCCTTATTACTAAATTAATGGGAAAAGAGTACCCCTAAAAATAAATAATGTTTGTGAAATAAACTATACACTCAACAAATATGGTATCTCACCTTAACTAATCCAAACAATGAATTCAAACTAAATAAAATATGACATAATGCCTAAAGAAATTAATGGCCTCTTCATCTACCACTTTCATGTTTCTTTGGAACAAGGTGGATAAATCTTCACCGTCGAAAGTTATATTGTGTCGTTATGTTTCATGTTTCAAGTCTACAACACTCATTTCGTATGCCTTTGGCTGCTAGGCTTTGACCACTGATTTAGGTGCCTTATTTAGCTCCAAGTTATCCAGATAACGCTTCTTAGTAGTCTTCTTGTCCTCCTGGATAACCCCAACTCTCCCGTCGGGCAGAGGTTACTTCATACATAAGTACAGTGTGGACGGGGCGGCTCCTAGATGATTAAAAGCATATCATCGTTGAAATTGCAGTCATCATCTATATCATTTTAGTTTTAATGATTTGTCAATTTACATGTATATGCGCTATTTGATTTATCGTGTATTTGTACTTTGTCAATTATATGATTATGTGTTGTTTGTATAGTTCATTCTTGTAACTCATTTAGAATTATTTGTATTTGTTTGCTTCGGCTATGACTAGTTTTGAACCTTTGAGAACCTCTTCATTCATTATTTTAATAATTGTATCCTTTTTTAGCATAACTATGTGTTTTATATCAATGAATTAAGTATTGCTTGAATCAAAAGTTAGAATGCTTGAATCAAGGTTGCATAGATGTTTGATTCAAATTATGCATAGTGTGACTCAAATCATGAAGCATTATGAATGATAAGATTTGGCTCTGTCTCATTTGAGTTGAATCATAGAAGATTGTGACTTGAATCACAATTATTCATGACTCGAATCATGAGACACACATGACTCGAATCATATAAGAAGCGACTAGAGAAAATAAATCTCTAAAAAAAAGAATGAAGTCACCATCGAATATTTATTTATCCCACGGAAGGGAAAGGAAAATATTAAAGTAAAACCTGAGAAGAGAGAAATCAAGGTCTCGCAACTAAGAGATCGGGTATGGAAGTCGATTATGCAAGGGGAAGGTATTAGCACCCCTCATGTCCATGGTACTCCACAGGATCCACTCTTGTTGTCTAATCTGAAGGGTGTGTTTGGATTTAAAACTAGGTTGCAAACATAATGCATGGATGCAAAGGATTATGTATAAAAAGAAAAGGTTTTATTATTTGTGCCCGTTGCAGTTGTGAGCGTTTGTTCCTACGTACCACCTTTCGTGAAATAAGGGATTATGGCACTCGTAGTTCACCTAAAAATGTTAGTTTGTTGTATGTTTTGTTAGAACAAAGTTTGGTTCTAATCATATCTTAGAGTTTTGATGATAACAATGAAATAAATTTTGTTATATTTATGTTATACTCTGACTTGTATGCTCACTAAATTCAGATGATGCTCTGACTCACACATCTTAGAAAGAAATAGGATTCTACGCTAGTACAAAGCAAACTCAGAATGAAGAGCAAATCTTCAACAACCTCTGATAGATGCACGCTGAATACAACGTCTGATAAATATAAGCTTAAAGTAAACTCTGATGAACATATATTGAAGAATACTTTGATAGAAGAAAATATCAAGTAAAATCTGAAATAGAAACGCTGCAAGCAAACACTTTAACTTCCAGAGACAAGCTCTGACAGTACCGTTGGTTATTAAATGCTAAGACGGCTAACACACTCAAGTGTACTACGCGCACTAGAATTGGAAACATAAAGACCAAATCTACTCGCTACATGAAACATGCATCATTGCAAACACGCTTCATTAAATGCATGCACTATCAGCAAGGCATTAATGGTCAAATTGGAAGCTATATATAGAAGACCTTTTGTATCAAAGAAAGGTTACTGACTTACGTAAAATATACTTACACTCACTGTTTTGATACTTGTAAACTAATACTGTATAGTGGGTAGATCTTAAGTATTGGGCAACAATCTTAGTGAAAAATCACAGTTGTGATAAAGCTTTTTAGAAGAAAATCTATTTCACTACTATTTAGAGACAATTTTGTAAGTGTTCCTTGAGAGACCAGTTGGGTCAGATTTCTCAAGAGGGCTAGGACTAGTTGAGTCTTAGAGGTTTTAGTCACTTGCAGTTGGCTTGTGCATTGTATTGTTAGTCACACCAGTTTGGTTTTACGCTTGTAATCAGTTTGATTATAGGTGATTAAATCCTCGTTGAGAGAAACGAAATCACCTTGGCGGGTGGACTGGAGTAGTTTGAGTTTCAAACGAACCAGGATAAAATTACCAGTGTCCTTCCATTAGTATTGCGCTAGAAAAGAAGAAAAACTTATTCAACCCCCCACCCCCTTCTAAGTGTTTTCTCAACCTTTAATTGGCATCAAAGCTCTAGTTCTGGGTGCAAACACCTAACAGTGTCAGAAAAAAGATCCAGAAGGAAAACACTATGGCATCTGAATAAAACAACAACAACACCAAACCTCATGTGTTTTATGGAGAAGACTTTGAATACTGGAAGGATAGACTAGAAAGTTTATTTCTAGGTCATAATGTTGATCTATGAGATTTGGTCCTTGACGGGTACACTCATCCAGAAGATAAAGACAGAAACAAAATTGACAGAAGGAACATGGATAAGCAACAAAAGTTAGATTTCAAGAATCACCATAGAGCCAGAAACATCTTTCTGAATGTTATCTCAAAAAATGAGTATGAGAAAATCACCAACAGAGATACGGCACATGACATGTTTGAATCCCTCAAGATGACTCATGAAGGAAATGCTCAAGTAAAAGAGACAAAAGCTCTGGATCTCGTTCAGAAGTATGAAGCATTCAAAATGGAAGAAAATGAGTCTATTGAAGTTATGTTCTCGAGATTCCAAACTCTGATTGTTGACCTAAGAATTCTGAATAAAGGATACACCGAGGTAGACCATGTTAAGAAAATCATCAGAAGTTTACCCAAAAGATGGGCACCTATGGTCACTACATTCAAAGTATCAAAAGATCTAAATGACGTTTCCCTTGAAGAACTTATCAGTGCTTTAAGGAGTCACGAGATAGAACTTGATGAACATGAGCCTCAGAAGAAAGGTAAGTCTGTAGCTCTTAAATCCATTAAAAAAATTGAAACTAACACTTTTTAGGCAGAAGAAGGAAACTCTGAAGATTCTGCATCAGAAGAAGACGAGTTATCTCTGCTCTCCTGAAGGATCAATCAGACGTGGAAGCATAAACAAAAGAAGTTCAGGAACTACAAGAGGTCAGAAGATAAACCAGAATCTTCTGGACATAAGAAGTCAAGCAGAAGAGATGTAGTCTGCTATGAATGAAAAGAACCTGGACACTACAGAAGTGACTGTCCTAAGCTACAAAGAGAAAGACCAAAGAAAAAGTTTGGTAAAAAGAAAGGCATGATGGCCACCTGGGATGATTCAGAATCATCTGAAGCTGAATTTGACACAGAAGATGAATACGCTAATCTAGCGTTTATGGCTACCACAACAGATGACTCAGACTCTGACTCAGAACCAAAAGAGGTATTCTCTGAATTTTCTAGAACTGAACTTGCTGAAAGCCTATCTGAACTGCTTGAAAACTACAGTAAACTCAAAATCAAATACAAGAAACTCAAAAAGAATGTTGCATCTGATCTTGAGAAACTTGAAACAGAAAACTCTGAACTTAAAGAAAATATTTTTAAACTCAAAGAAGATGTTCAAAAATTTGAAAAGAATTCTATTTCAGATTCTGCTTCAAGTTTAAAAGATATTCTAAAAGAATATGACTCTAGTTTTTAAACGTTTCTTGCTAAAAGCATAGATAGAAGCAAAATGGCTTCAATGATCTATGGTATTAGTGGAAATGACAGAAGAGGTATTGGATATAAATCTCCCAGAGGGAAAGAAATATATAAACCTAAGCCCGTTGAGGAAATGTTTATATCATATAAACTACTACACAGGAAATTTAATTTTGGGCACACACATGATATTAAATACACTTCTCACTCTGAAAATTCCTATGCAAAATCAAAGTTCAATCTGAACTATAGAAACTCTAACCAAAAAGAACCCAAAAAGAAATGGGTACCTAAGAAGAAAATAATCTATGATGCAGATGTCCTTAACAGCTCAGTTGAAACACCAGTCATGGTACCTGGACTCTGGATGCTCGCGTCATATGACGGAAAGAAATTCTATGTTCTAAAGTCTGGAGCTTAAATCTGGAGGCGATGTCAAATTTGGAGGAAATAAAAAAGGAAAGATTATTGGTTCTGGAACCATCGGAAATGGTAACCTTCCCTCTATAACTATTTTTCTATTAGTAGAAGGATTAGCTCATAACTTGTTGTCCATAAATCAATTAAGTGACAACGGTTATGACATTATCTTTAATCAAAAATCATGTAGAGTT